GCCACAAAAAAAACGACCCAAACCACCCAGCCCCCACCCAATCTTGGTTTTATTTTTTATTATTTTCCTGATGTTTTGCGTTTTTTTTATTTATTGAATGATTGAGTGATTGTTGGGGGAAGGGTGCCCAGACACAAACACAAACTCACACACACACACACACACACACGCACACATACACACACACACACACACACACACAAACACACACACACACACACACAGAAGAATAAACGCATAGAAGAACATGGAAGTACAATGAAAAAAAAGTAGTAATAAAATGTCATACAAAAGTAACGCCGAAGTCGCATATCCGAGTCCAATATGAAATACATGTCGTATGATACAATGTGTCGTTGACACTCATACTCAGTCATACGGAGTCGTACAACGATGGGATGCAGCCTACACCGCTAACTAACAAAAATGAAAAGAAAACCCTAACAAACGTCTACGTAATACGACGAGTCGGAATGAAGTCCCACCTCTAACATAAACCCAAATACTACAAAACAATATGAAAACGCCGTACATAAACAGAAAAAGTAAAAAAACGAACACTCTCGATGACACTACCTGCATACTAAAGTCCATAAACTGGTCCTAAGTGCCTAAAACCTAACTATATGTACATCATCCTAAACAATGTACAAAAATGTAAGAACACTGAGCACAAAGAACATAAAGGCGACGTGGAAGGGGAACGAAGCTGTCAATACCGTCGACATCCCTTCCCCTTACCACTGCCTCTCTGCCTACCCCCACCCGTGCTGCGTGTCAATGAAACACTCCCTCGCCCCAGCACGGTCGCTACGGATGACCCTCGCCTCCTCTGACTCCTCGTCTCACGCCGCCCTGGAGGGGACGGGTCGTCGACGTCATCGCGTCGTCTACTAGAGCCACATCGTCTACTAGAACCACGCACAGATGGAGGGGAGGGCTCGTCGTCGTCATCGTAGTTGTCGTCCTCCCTGTTGTCGCTCTCCTCCTCCTCACTCTCCTCGTCGTCCCTGCACTCGTCATCCCCGGCCTGCTGCGCCTCCTCACATGCCAGCTCCGTCTCGGGATTGTCCTCCACCACGGTCATAGGGTCAGCCCCTGTCCTCACCCGAACAACCCTGGCACTCACCTGAGTCACCTCTGTGACTGTCTTCTCACGACATGAACCGCGCGGCATCCCCAACCCCTCGGGTCCAGAAGATTCCCCCAATGCGGCACCCCCCGCCGCAGGCATGGGACGTGGACGAGCTGCCCCGCTCCTGTGAGGAGTCTAGTCACGCACAGCACGTGTTGCTGCTGCCAAAGCGGTCTGCAAGGTAGACCCGGCCTCTCCACCCCCACGAACATGTCGCGGCTGAGATACTACCGCCATGACCTCCCTCGGTGCACGCCTCCCGGTGTCAGACCCACCCAAACCTGGTTGGCATCGTGCGGTGTGCACCGTGACCCGACGCGTGGAGTCCAGGTCGATATCCGTCCTCCCGAATAGCGACGTGTCAAGAGGGAGGCTCCCTACGGCCGTCGTGTCACGAACCCTGGGTCTGGTGGGCGTGGATGGTGAGCGGGGGGGTGGACGTACTAGTGTCGAGGGGGAATCGCTGTGACGTGATCTCGGAGGAGGAGGCATTATGAGTCGTCTGCTAGGGTCGGTGTCCTCTTGCCGTGTGATGTCACGCACAACAGCCCGTGCGAGCTCCGCGAAACCCAATGGGCAAGCTGTGTCCTGAGGAGCTCGCCGCCCAGTAACCGGTGTCCGAAGTGCTGGCTCAGATCCTAAATCCACGACTAAGACCGGTGAAGCCTGAACAGATGCCACCTCCCCAGGACCTGACCGCTACACACATGGTCGAACTGGTCGCGACGTCGTCGTCAGCTGCAGGCCCGTGAACGGTACCAACGAACCGGTACCTCCGAGGATATCTGCAGCGGGTGCATCCTCACGCTCCTCCTGAGGCTGCTTTACTACCTCCTCGCACCCCTGCTGAAGTGTGTCTCTCTCTCTCCTGGAGTGTCTTGCGAATGCCTGCTCGATCTCCTCTATGGAGTAGCCGGCGGCCGCTAGGGCACATGCCGTATCCTCTCTCTCTCCGTGACGAGGGCTGGGTGGATCCCCCAAAGACATGTCCATGAAATCCCGCATCCCCAGCCCTGATGCCCTCCTCTCTCCTAATGGTGACGCCCCCAGTGCCCTCGTCATGCCCGGAATCAAACCCGCTAGTGTGGGACCCATCTCGTCATCGATGAAACGCTAGATGATCGGGTCAACGTCGTCGCCTTCCTCTCCTCTACCATGGGCATCGTCCCCCCCTACCACGACCTCCTCTCCCCCAACCAATGCAGCAGCATCTGGCCTCACTACGTCCTCCTCTATCTCAACCTGCGCATCACTATCATCATCCCCTGCCACGCCCTCCTCTCTCTCAACTTGTGTCCTCACCACGTCGTCCTCTCTCTCAACCTCCGACGGCAGCACGCCCTCCACTCTATCAACCTGCTCACCATCATGCACCCCTCCTCTCTCTCGACCTGCGCAACATCATCTACCTCCACCATGCCCCCCACTAAGCCAGCTACCTCCTCCTCCATACCCCGAATACCCTCAACTCCGCCCTCTCCAGCGGCTCCGTGCTCCTCCGCTCGTCTCTCCCTCTCCTCCACCGATGGTGCCCCGCTATGAACACCCACCTCCCCCAAGTCCCTCGATGCATGCGGGTCCAAAACGAGCTGACGGGCTATGCTAAACAATTATCCATGCCCGCGCATGCGCAACGAGGATCCCAAGTCCTCCCTCCTAACCGGTGCAGGTGAGCGCTCGTCATGCCGAACGGGAGCGATCGAAGAGGATGCTGGGATACAATGACGCGAAAGAGGCAATGACAACGAGGGTCCGGACTGCGTCGCGGGAGAACTCGTCTGCTCCCTCGTGGTCGTGGGAGCAGGCGTCTGCTCCTGCGCGGTCGAGGGAACAGTCGTCCGCTTCCGCGCTGTCGTGGTAGGACCCGACTCCTCACTCGCAGTCATGGGAGCAGGCGTCTCCTCCCTCAAGGTCGTGCGAGGACGTGTATCCTCCCGTGCGGTAGTGGGTGATCTCTCCTCCGTGCCCTCGAAAGATCATCAGAGCTCCTCGCCCCCCATCATATCTATGTCTCCCTTCTCTGCCGCCCCCCGCGCGGTGTGCGTCCTCTGGTCACCCACGTCGCCCTCCTCGTGCAACTCGTCAATCTCATGCCGGACGGGAAGCATGGGGTCGTCCGCTGCGTCCGGCTCGCTCTCGTCCCCAGAGGCATCGTCCCCGGGTATGGGCGAAAAATAGCCACACAAGCATTGAAAACAGACTCAACAGGGGGTGGCGCAGAGGACCCGATGGGATCGTGAGTAACGAGGGCAGCCTGCTCCTCTATCTCGTCCTCCGTCATCCCATTCCTCGTCCCCGAGCGCACAGGCGCCAAGTCCAATCCTGCCTGAGCGTCAAGCATGCCCTCGTCTCGCTGCCAAGGGAGGACGTATCCACAACCTGCACGTCTATACTCCATCAACCGCACATTTGCGGTGATGTCAACAAGATGAACGACCTTCTCGAAGGCCAACTGATTGCGCTTCTTCATATGGATGCCCACGTAGACCACCCACGGCGCCCAGTTCCTTTCCGCTGGAGAGGCGCAAGACCACATGGGCATCAAACGAAGGGCGCAATGCTGTAAATCGAGCGCCTCTCCCCCGTACTGAGACCACCACGACGCACACTCCAACATCTCGCAGTCTCCGCTGCAACTACGCGCTCTTGCGCGGCCCTCTCCCCCGCCCCATGTCCCATACCTACCCTGCTGCGTGTGAAAGTCCTCGAACTGCTGACATACCTCAAGGTAACGACCACCCGACAACAGATACCTCTTGGCTTGTCGAACAAGCCAAGTGTGGTACTGGTCGAGCTGCACGGAGAAGTACTGAACAACCCAGCGACGGGGTTTCAGTAAGAACGCGGCGCAGTATGCAGGCTCCATCATGTGCTGTATACGGGCCTGCACACGCCTCATGACATGGTCAGAAAAGGACTGGCCAAGAGGGATGCAAGCGTCCCGCACAAGGCGTGCAAGATCCCAAGTCCACTCTCTATTGAGGGAAATGAACTGTCCGCCATGGTCCATCTGCCTCAGCAAGTCCATGACGGGATCCATGACGTGCTTGATGGCACGCATCCTCTCCCACCAAGGGGACCACCTGATCTGTCGGCGCACCCAACGCGCCATGTCGCGGACGTCGGGGGACCACGGGATCCTTGCCCAAGCCCGCCCGTCCTCCGCTGTCATCATGCCCTGCAAACGATCCTGCAGAGCTAGCCCCAACGCTCCGATCCTACAGTACACGGACGCAAAGCGTGTCTCGCATGAAAGCACGAGCCCCAACGCCCCGCTCCGCTTCTGAAAGAAGCTGAGAGTGGCCTGGTGGGTTTTGAAAAACACCACCAGAACTCGGGCACGCGTGATCGTGTCCACACAAGAGGTGCAGATCGTGCCAATGTCTGACAACAACTTGTTGCAGACATGGACACAGCACGGGAGCCAAGTGATCCTCCTCAGCTCAGGGGGCATGGCTGTCGAGGCCAAAGCCCTCGCAGCCCCCACGTACGCAGAGGCGGAGTCAGTGCATATAGCATTGACCCGTTGTGGGCCACTGAACCTGAAACCGTGAAAGATTGTGACCCATCTCAGCAGGACGTGCGTCGGATCGTCCGGCGCGCCCTCTCGGTTGATCGTCGTGTACATGATGACCTCTCAAGACCCAGCTCCAAGGAATTTCACGATCGGTCGCTCGTCTCGTGACTTCCTCCCGTCAGAGAGGAGGGTGGCGCCACTCACCCAAAATGGCTGCCTCACCTCCTTCAACTCCTCCGCCAACTCCTGGCGGTGGA